TATTATTCAAAATGGGTGACCCTGGAGGACATTATGCTGAGTGAGGTATCTCAGTCACAAAGGGACAAATGCTATATGGTGCCACTGTTGTAGAATGAGACTGGCATTGGGGTGGGGGTAAGACTGAGAAAAACTGGATGAAATATGTTTACGGCATTGAAGTCATAATTTATTTTTAAGACAAATCTCATAAGAACATTGTGACTGCTATCTCAAGAAAGGAAGAGAAACAGTTACAACATACTCTATGAAATGTGAAGTTTGACTTTAAGAATCTAGAACTCTGATTGCTAATGCATCTTGGGACCTGTTGAAACATAAGTTCTTCCCCAACATATATAATGTTCTAGCCTTTCTCCTGGTAATTTTCCCACAATCCATCACTTTGCAAGCTAAAATTTAAGGTTCTGCCCACCCACCCAAGTTTAGAAAAGTCCATCCTGGAGCTGTGTAGATGTGATTGTGTGTGTGTCTCTGTGTCTGAGAGTCAGGGGCAGGAGGGAGAGAGAGAATGATAGAGAGTAAGAATGTATAAAGATGCAGAGTACATGCCTCAATTTTGGTTGACCAAGAATCCAAACTATGGCCAGGGTATCTCAAGCAGCCAATACACATTTGGTGGGAGAAAATGAGAAACAGTAGTGAGAAGGCTTGTGGAAACAGGAAAGCAAATCTGTGTACTCTCATCTCAGGCCTGCAGTTTGAGGCTCAAAGAGACATCTTCGTCCCTAAGATACCTTGTGTCACAGACAGTTAGTACTCAGCTTTTAGAGGTTGCCACTGGCCATCCAAAGAGCCCTGGAAGTTTGCTTCCTTGAAGAATATAACCAAGGAGATCCTTTGCAACAGTTCTGCTCTTTGGTAGATAGGTCTCTGGATTGGAATTGAATGACCAGCCTCGGACTTGCCTTGTCATGACCACTGTCGCTGTCTGCTCTAAGAATCTTCATGGGCTGGCTGATTGGAGAAAGCCAGTGTTGAGTAAAGTACTAGAATTAGTTCTCAAAAGCTGCTTGGTGCTGCCACTGCTTTCCTGAGAAGTTGCCTCTGGAGAGTAGACTATAAATATAACGATTGGACTTTGAAAAGCTTGTTACTTTTAGCATTCCATGAAAAGAAGGGAGGTTGTTGGGTACTTTGTGAGCCAGCTGCTTTACTTGGGTCAGCTTTTATTAATTTACCTCTTTTCAGATGAGGAAACTCATACCAATAGAATGATTAAGTGTTGAGTGTGTTAAATGACTTTGTCAAGATGACATAGCTAGTAAGTGGGCCAGACCTTGAATATCCCAAAGGCACACATGCCATATTCCTCCTCACTTCATAGAGATTTTTCATCTGAACTGATGCTCTAGGGTTCCAAATGACAGCTTGACACCAGTAACAAAACCATCTGGGTGGATGAGTACAGATGGACAGCTGGTGGAAACAGCTCGGCATGAGGACTTCCAAGCTTGGTATAAAAAGTCATTGGGAGGCATTTTATAATGCATGTGGGATAGGAAGATTTGGGGAGGGGTCAAAACAAACCTACAAAGCTAGTATTTTGGAATTCCTTTTTATCACAACTCTGAGCTTCACATGCTTCAGTTGGCAGGGGTAAAATGAATGTGTTGCCAAATCACTATATTACATTTTACTGATGTTATAGACTATCAAGTCAGAACTAACTCATACCTGACCCTCAGAGGCAGTTAATCACATGGGAGAAGACTGATGACTTTCTCCCATGGAGTAGCCGGTGGGTTTGAACCTGGAGCCTTTGAATTGGCAGTGTAACTCCTTACCATCATTGTCACTGAGTCAGAACTTATGCATAGCTGACCCTCCATCAGATCTCTGAGGCTGTAAATAGCGTGGGAGGATATTATTCATCTTTCTCTCTCTAAACTGTTGGTAGATTTGAACCTCCAGAGATGTGCAGCCTTTGGGCCCCACCATCTACAGACTAGGCCTCCTTCACATCATTCCATAGGTGTGGGACCACTTAATTAAAGGAGTGTCTCCAGCACATTTGATAGTGAGCATTTTGTACAGTTTTAGCTCAGGTCTACCTTCAAAAAAAGCATCTCTAAACTAGGCTCTTCTCCACTTGTATTTTCAGGCTAGTTAGCCTGTTCCTTGCCTGGAAAGTTTTTACATCCTTCTTCTGTGGGGTGTGTGTAGTGGGAGAGGACAAGCTGACACATTTGTACCCCTACTCAGCACTGTGGTTTAATATCAGCCAGGTTTCTCTCCGTAACTGTGGGAAATGCTGAAAACCCACTGCAGCCCACTTAGACTGTGATACATTCTCTACTTTTTGTCTTATCTGAAATGCTGTCACCTATTTCTAAATGATTTTTGAGCTACAAGGCCTGAGCTAGACAAGTCATCCCTGTGGTCGGGATTATAACAAGCTTCCCACTGCTCCTACACACACGTCCCTGGCAGAGCATGTGGTGTGTG